GTGTGTGTGTGTGTGTGTGTGTGTGTGTTAAGAGATAATTAGGACCATATCATTGAAAACAAAACTATTAAAATTTGATTTTTGATATTGAAACTTTAGATATGGGGTTCGTGGTAATTTTCCCCATTTGATTTAGAAATACACTTTAGACTAAGCACTACAAATATCTATTCATCTGATCTGAAAATTCAAGCCTTATAAATTTTTGTGTTAAACTATTTGTACACAATAGTGTACAACCCCCTCATATGTTGAGGGGGCCCACCTGAATTTTTTAATTGCGGGCACTCTTGTTGTGAGAGGGCTGTCCTATAAAAAAAACTTCTTCATTTTATATTATTTTAATTATGGATGGCAATTCGAACTGTCAAAATCGAAAATCACGATTAACTGAATCGAATAGAGCAAAAAAAATCAAACTGATAGTACAATGGGGTGGATATAATGTTTAATTTTAATCACCCGATTCGGGATGGGGTAGGTATGGTATTTATGTTGCCGCCCCGCCCCGAACCGATTACCCATTAAAATAATAATAATAATAATAATTAAGTAATTGGGCTTTCTATTATTCTTTCTATTATAATCTGTCTAGTCCAAAATTTATGGCCTATTACCGACTCGTTAAGTAACCTTGCCCAATTACCCACTAACCCTACCACAAAGAAATTGGAAAATTGGAATCAAATTCAACAATAGATTAGCTGTCTGCTTCTCTGAGTCTCTACGATGTCGTCCCAATTTTTCTTCTCCACACCACGTTCTTTAGCGCTGGCCATCGCCATCCCCAAATAGGAGGGCATTTTTTTTCACTATTCAACAATAGCCGATCGCCGACTACCGTTGCTATAATCTGCATCCTTTTTTTGTTGAGTTTGAGTATCTAATGAAATGTGGTTCTTACTTAATGTTGGGTTCGAATTGATGATATTGTAATAATTTTAGTACCTATTTATTTGTTGTCATACTTATTTTCTTACTTAATGTTATATGTTAAATGTGAATATTTCTAAATCTTAATGAGCTTCTTACTTAATTTTCTTAGTTTTACTGTTTTTAGCATCATTTGTTGAAAAATAATTGTTCTTTGTCGCATTTTGCAAGAATATAGATGTGAAGAGTAGTAGGGCAGGATTTGTTGTTGCTTGAAAATTATCCAATTACAAGTCTAATGGAGAACTAATCTTTTCTTTAATTGAGTTTTTAAATTTCTCAATTTATGTTCATAAGCTTCTTGTGTTTATAGGTGTGAAGAATGGGTCAATTACTTTGTAGCGTAAAGTAGATCAATCTGCTGTTGCCGTGAAGTAAACATTAAAAATGATTTTTAATATCATAATTTATTCAACTAGTCTTTATTTGGCATTTTTTCCCCTCCTCAATTGGCTTAGTATTATGTTTCTGTTTTCATTGACTTTTTTTCGTAAATTGTTTTTTTTTTCCAATTTGATGGTTCGATCTATAAAAAATAATTTATTTTCGTGGTTATTAATGATCCGAGTCGAGCCGAATTGAACCGACTTAGTGTTTATGTTGCAGTTATGGTATGACCAAAAAATTGATAGTTCGGTGATGCTTTTGATCGAATCAACCCCGAATCGAATCGAATCGTTGCCAACCCTAATTTCAATATTAAATTTAAGGATTTATGAGTCAAAGGGCCATCATTGGAGTTCTGATTTTGTGAATATTGAGATTCCATACTTGATCACATCATATTTCTACATTACGTGGTACCATTCAGTTAATTTCAGATGACAATTTTTCACTCGATGAAGAAGATGTTAAGAGCAATGGCGGATGTAGGGAGACTGGCCTCGGGTTCCTGCTTTACAAATTTCATATTTTTATGTAAAAAACAACAAAGAATTATGTTGATTTTATTTTATTTTTTTCATTTTTACATATTAACTCAACTTAGAATTTATTCTTATTATTATTTTTAAATCCGGTCCTACATTCATCCCTGATAATGAGGTATGTGGATGCAATTTTCAAGAAAGCAAATGAATCAGCATCCAATCAAGATGTAGAGTAGAGGTCAATATTGTTTCAATTATTTTGATCTTTAATCTTTAATGTGACTTTATTTCGTGTAAAACGTTATAACTGTTACTTTAATTTATCTACCCTACAAAACGAATTACAAAACCTGGGAAGTTCAATGAGTTCAGTCTACTTATACAGATGTACCCGTTATAATGTGAACTTTGGCTTCATAGGTTCAGATTTCTGAACTTCACAAGAACAGTCGAAACCAAATCAGAAATATACACACAACTGACTGCACATTCGCTTCTTTGCGCATTCTTAGTACTGTTACAGTTACAAAGCATATATATACTTGTCCGGTGTTCCAAGAGAGAAGAATACATAACAAAGAATATCTTCTCAAGTATCCATAAAAGTTTTAATGGGAGACAAACTGTTAAGAAGCAGCATCATGCTGTAGTCAAGCAGTTCTCCCAGGTCCCATATTTCGAGCTAAAACTTCCTCCGCCACTTTGCTGTGCATACTCGGAAATAACAGCACGAGCACAAATATCCCAAGTCCTTGCTATCTCACTGAGTGACATGGGTTGTGAGAGGGTTCGGAGAGAGATGCTGAATCTTGATTTCGCCTTTATGGAAAGATCTTCATACTCTTTGCTGCATATACATGGAGTTACATGATATATCAGCATATGTAGATATCAATCTGATAATATGCAAGTGAAAACACAAGCCATGATTTGGAGAAAAGAAAGCGGGCTTTTGGGGAAGAGGGATTCACAGTACAGGTGTACATTGGGCCGAGCCTGAGTTTCTAGGCAGCCAGCTCCCTACTAACAGAGAAAACGGAAGAAAAGAAAAATTCAAGGTTCGGTTGCCACTTAAATACCCTGGTCCACAGCTATGCCAGAGTTATTAAACGCACATTTAAAAAGCACGAACCAATCCTTTTTTCCCTATATTCCTGAAATCCCGTACATTTGCCCCGATCCTGAATTTCTAGATTTTGTCTCCATAGTTCAAGTAATTAATACTGCAAAGACTAGACAAAACTAAAGTTCATAATTTTATCTGTTGGGACAGAAAGAAGGAACTTCCAAATTTTTGTCTCACCAGCTTTGGGATGGAACGGCCCAAAAAATACCAAGGCAACGTTATGCATTCAGTGCTTGTTTGGTATGGCTTTAAAGTGCTTATAAGTAGTGGGTCCGCCGGAATGTATGCATAATAAGTGAGTAAAATAAGTCGTGGATTCTACAAAATGTATGGGTAAAAAGAATGTTCGACCAGCTTAAAGAAAAAGTTGAGCAATGCCAAACCTACCCTTAGTCTAAGTATACAATAACTTTCTGTAGTGGCAATACCCTTCCACATTCCAAGAGTTCCAATCAATATGACTTAAAGTAGGCATCCCTTGGTGCCTCCCACAAGCTGAGTAATTATAAAAAACAAGTCCTTCGTTCATAAATCTAACCCCAAAGAGCAATTCTAAATTCAGAATACTCTAATTCCTTTTGACGTGCAGTATGTTTGTGGTGGTTAAATTATGCTCGATGTGAAAGCATTCTAAGTGGAAGGAAAACAGATTCCAGATATAAAACATGTTTTAAAGGAATAAATTCCTCGATCCTTGTTCAATAACGTAACAAATTTAATTGAAATATTTATGGAATAAATTCCTCAATCCTTGTTCAATAACGTAACAAATTTAATTGAAATATTTATGGAAATGCACTAATTAGCCTCTTTACTTACTGCGAATTATAATTCGTGTCAAAAACTTTGTGGTACCTTCTCATCTCAATTTCCTTCAATTATCCTCCGCATAGTTGATATGAATAAAACCACCATAAATGCAAACTAAGTGGGACCCCTGGCAACTGATCAATTGCATGATCAAGCTAACCAAAACGCAGCAGATAAAAAAAGTAGACCACTAGAAGCACATTGACCCCCAGGAGTCATTCTACTAGTGATGCATGAAAGTATTAATTTGCTACAAGCAATTGAAGAAACGAATTGAGGGCATTGAAGAAAATCAATTTTATTCATATAATCAAAGGTGAATGTTACAAAGAATAATCCCTCCATTTATTGAGCAACTAATCTAAAATTAGAAGAACTTCTAATAAGCTATAACTTCGTCGAAATATTAAATCTAATCTAAACAATCATAATCTGAATTAAACTATTATTTTAAATTCCTATCTAGCTTCTATTTCTATTCTATCTCCATCAAGTAGTCTATTAACAGTACCAGTACAACACAGTAATCGTATGGAATGTTTCTGCCAAGGATAAAATACGTGACTTGTCACAACATAGCCTAGTATTTTCATACCAAAGAAGTTTCAAATTTTGCAGTATCCACTATTCTAGCACACAGTCTAAAATGTAGCTTGATGTTGGAGAAATGTGTCTAAAATTCAGGGTTTTAAGGTTTGGTTAACCGTTCTTGTAACTTCTCGCACAGCTAGGCAGAGAACAGAATAAGCTATCGCGGGTCAGCACGTTAGAGTTTTCAAATTCCCTTATCAAATTGTGGCCCAGAAATATTTACCAATATCATGTGCTTATTTATCTATTTGGAACTGTACTTTGTGAGTTTTCATGGGGCATTTTCTCTCTTTTTTGCATAGCCCATGTGCGCTCTGTTACATTGAGAACCCCTTGATGTGTGAGTTAAAAAGTTCAAACTACAATCACAAAAATAGAAGTGTAATATAAAATTTTCCAGAATGCAAGTGCCAAATTTTATGTTTTCTCACCTGACTTCAACTGGAAACCTGTCCAAAAGTATTGGCGAGCAATTTGGATAGTTGTTGGGAACAAGTAATCGTAAAGGTTGAATTGGGGACTGCATTCCAGTAGAAGGTATTGTCATAACCATTGTACAGAAGATACAGATGTAACAAGTGGCATTAACATGATGGCGCTAAAAATCTCACCATTTGTGCCGAAGCATATTGTGATTTCAAGTTTGGGCTAAGAGCCACGGCGCTAAAAGAGCACTTCACGATGGTTCCATCTCCACCTTTGGCAGTAGCAGCGACTGCAGTTGGATCCACAACTTCATCACTAATATATACCACTGTGTCTATCAATCGTTCATTTATCTCCTGCAGTTCTTCTTCGAGTCTATGGTTAGCCTGCAAACAGTGGACAATTATACTCAGAAAGAAGGAAGCAAGACGTGTATAGTGCACTAGAATAAGTTTCTTTTCATTGAAATCAGTAGGCCCAATACATGAAATGAATGGAGGAATATCCTATACAACCAATGGCATGGCGTCACTATAATAATTACCAGTGAAGTGAATTAATCAAGGATCTGACACACATAAATTGAAATTTACTTAACTTCTAATAAGGTCCTACAGGTCACCTGCATTTTAGGATACAATGTTTGGATAATATCAGAACCCTATGAACAATGAACTATCTCCAAACAAAAAGCTAAATAGATCTCCTACGTTCCACAGTGACAATTCCCAAAAATTCCACAAGACGTTAATAATGACAGAAGAAAAAAAGGATAGATGAAACAATCCAGACCACTGATAGAGTAGTATTTCAATCCATTCCACAGAGTTCTCTTTTATCTGATCCAAGAAGAGGCAACTGTCTAGAGATAATATTATCAAGTCATCTCGAAGCCTCAATGTACATTAACAATTTTGATTTCTCCGTTCCCTTTTTATTTAATACTAAAACTCCTAGGATTAATATCCTTCAGATTCCAGTGGATGGCTATAGGAGTTTATGGGACAAATCTAATGAGAGTAGAGGGGGCTTATGGTATGATGGCTTGGTGGAATCTCCCAACGTGTATTGGGGGTGATATTAATATGGTTCGATTTTCTATTGAGAGGTTTAATGGTGGGAGACTAATAGGGATTACAGGGGACTTTTCATATTTTATTAGGGAGATTATGATTGTAGATATGTTTATGATTGGGGGAGATTTTACTTGGTCATCTAATCGGGACCAGCCTGTTCCATCTCATATAGATCGACTCTTGGTTAGTGAAGAGTGGGGGCTAAGTACTCAGATGCACTCAAAGGAGATTGGAAAGAATGTGATCAGATCATTTCCCTATTTTGTTCTCTGAGAATACGGGGGTTAGTGGACAAAGGCCTTTTCAGTGAGAAGATATGGTTAAACGTAGAAGGCTATGGAGATTGAGTACGGACTTAATGGACCTCTTATGATTTCAAGGGGTCTCCCAATTATGTGTTCAATCAAAAGTTGAAGGCTTTGAAAGGGAATTTAAAGAGATGGAGTGAAGAGGTGGTGGGCAATGTAAACTATCGTAAAAATATGTGTGTTTCAAACATAGAAGAGTTGGATAGGAGAGAGAAGAGTTGAGGGTTGGTTGGGGAGGAGAAGGATAGACGTGGAGTATTAAGGGGAGAGTTGGAAAGGTTGGTGGAGATAGAGGATATTGCTTGGGGCCTGAAATTTAGGGTCACGAGGTTAAAAGAAGTGGAGACAAATGCACCAAGTTTTTTCATAGGGTCGTTAGTTCTAACAGACGCAATAATTCTATCACATTGTTGCAGGTAGATGGGATTACTAATGAGGACCCAAAGGATATTGGAACCAAAATGGTGAGATTCTATAAGAATCTCTATCATGAGCAATTTAAGTAGAGGCCAAAGTGAGAGGGATTGGATTCTTTTACTATCACGGTGGAGGATGCCAGTTGGCTAGAAAGACCATTTGGGAATGATGAAATTAAAGAGGTAGTGTTCGGTATGAATGATGAAAAAGCCCAAGGAATGGATGTTTTCTCGTTCTTAGTCTATAAGGCTTGTTGGGAGGTGGTGCGAGCATGTTCTTACTTATTTTTTGAGTGTGGTAGGTTTCTGAGACGTTTTAATGCTACATTTATTGTGCTAATTCATAAGAAATCGGGAGCAACTAATATTAAAGATTTTCGACCTATTAGCTTAATCAAGGGGTGTACAAGATTATTTCGAAAGTTCTGACGAATAGATTAAAGAATGTGCTGGGAAAAGTAGTGTTTAAGTTTTAGAATGCTTTTATGAAAGGGGCACCAGATCTTGGATTATGTACTTACAGCGAATGAGTATATTAACTCAAGATTGCGCCTGGGATTCCAAGGATGCTATGTAAGCTCAATATTCAGAAGGCATAAGATCATGTAAATTGGGGGTTCCTTTTGCGTGTGATCAAGCGATGTGGCTTTAGAGATAAGTGGTATGAGTGGATTCAGTTTTGTATCTCTAATATTTCGTTCTCAGATTTGATCAACGATACACCTGAGGGTTATTTTAGAAGCAGTTGATGTTTGAGGCAAGAGGATTCTTTGTCTCCATTGTTATTTGTTATTGTAATGGAGGCTCTCGGTAGGATGCTTGAGAAAAGATGTGGGGGAGGGTTTGATAAGGGGCTTTACGGTTGGTCACTTGCAGGTTTCTCAATTGTTATTTGCAGATGATATGCTGATTTTAAATGATGCAGATGATGGGTAATTCAGGAACTTGCGTCGTTTGCTTCTATGCTTTGATGCAACGTTTGAACTAAGATAAATATGGGGAATTTTGAGGCTATTCCAATAAGAGAGGTCACTAACCGTGGAGTTGGTTGATATATTGAACTGTAGCATTGCCCAGTTGCCTATATCACATCTTGGGCTCCCTTCAGGGGCACGGTTTAAAAGTGTATACATATTTGGAATGGTATTGTGGAAAGGATGGTGAGGAGGTTAGAGAAATGGAAACGTATATACCTTTCAAAGGGAGGCCGTCTTACTCTCATTAAATCCACTCACTGATCTCCCTACTTATTTTTTGTCGTCGTTTCCTATTCATGCTCCCTACTTAATTAAGGTATAGTTTGTTCTATAAGGATGAGGGACCTTAGATTGAGGTGCCTTATTTTGTTTAATAAGACTTCACTGGACAATTGGCTGTGGCGATTTGAAGTGTAGAGGGAGAGTTTTTAGAGAAAAAGCATGGGGGCGAAGTATGATGACATGGAGAAATAATATTATACTCAAATCCAAAAATTTTCTTTATTTTTTAACCACACATTCGCTATCAATCTACTATTCCAAAATACATTCTCACAATAAATTGGGCTCAAACAAGCTCCTGGTGAGCAAAAGTGATAATATTGAGAAGAAAAAAAAATTATCTTCAGTAGCAGGGGTTGGTCATTTTCCTAATTTAAAGAATCTTATGCTAAATTACTTTCTTAGTGTTCTAAACTTACCTTGCTACCCACTTTCAGGGAGATGGAAGCACTTTTTTCTGTTTGTATTTCCTCTTAAACGTATCAAGATTTGAAGAGTAAATAACTAATTTCTAGTCGGAAGCACAAAAAGAGCACGAATAGTAAAAAGTACTATATCAAAACAATTTTGTTAGTCAAAACTCACAGCTAAAATATTGTCATAATTAACTCAAATAAAAATTGGAAAAAATTAAAATCTGAGCACATATTAGAGAGATCGGAGACGAAGTTCAAATTTATCAGAGATTTATTTCGGAGTATGTAACTAACAGACTGGATTTCCGGACTATATAATTAACATATGTTTTTGATAGCGTATGAGATGCTTCAGCATTCATTGTACCCATGTCGTTGGTAATACTGCCTAAACAAGTTCAAGTGCCTAAATCCATAACTAGAATGTCTTCGTACACAGTCTATTGCTTACTTCCCCACAAGTCAGATTACTATATGGCATCTGATATTTTGAAGAACATGGGCTTTGCCCTATTTTTAGTTAGGAACAATGCAGTTGGCCTTTTGTTATCTCCATTTCCCTGGAATACATCAATATGCATGAACTGCAATGCCCTTGACACTTACCAATAATTTCTTATCAACAACAAAAATGTGGAGAGTATATAGCACGAGATTAATACAGAAGAAAAATAGAATTTTCTAATCTTAATACTTTTTCCATATTTAAACTTGGTCCTCAAACTGTTCAGTGAGAAAAAGAAAGCATTAGCAGAAAATACCTCAATCCTAGGCCTTTTAATGCCAGATGCACCAGTGGACTCCCCATCAGATTCAGTCCCATTTAACTGATAGAAACTATCATTGACACTTCCAGTAGATGAAACAACATTTGATGGCATTGCACTTGTATAACGTCTCATTCTCTTTGTGCCGCTAGATCCATCTTGTGAGAAAAAGTTTCTGGCCTGCAAACGACACTTAGTCATCGCAACCAAATCTTCACCCACCGCCGCTCTTGATCCATTTCCTGGAGCAGATCCAGCAATTCTATCAATCATACTAACTACTGAGCTGATGTCACTAACTGAGGAACTCAATGCTTTAAGTGACATAGACTTCACCTGATAAAAGGAAAAAAAAAAAAAAAGATTGAAAAGAAATGAAATATTAAGAGAATATGCTTCAAAAGTAATTGGTATACAACTTAAGTAATCACAAAAGAGTCTTGTACTAACCACTTTAAGTAAGCGTTCAAGTGGTTGTTCTACAACATTCGAGTTTCCCGAAACAATGGTAGATACAACACCATGAGTACCATCGGGACTGGTAAATTCAGCAAGTAAAGGTGAGGCAGATATCCCAGGAGTGCCAATAGCAAGGGATTGCGCTGGTATGGATGCTCCAGTTGTTTGATGATGACCAGGATTTCCAGCATTAGACAGGGACGCCACAACAGAGTTCATTTTGTCAAACTCGCCTGGGATGATTGATGGAGCCATGGAAGTTGATGGAGAGGGAACGACAAATGGAGAGTTTGCAGATTGCAAGGGGGTCCCGGTCTTTGGATGAGACGTCAGAAGATTCTGCTGGTCAATTTGGGGAGAAAGATGCACCTGAGGGGATGCTACCTGAAGGACTTGTGGCGAGGAAGTAGAGAATGGAGTTCCAGGTTTCAGTGGTTGGTGATATGATGAACGCTGGCCAGAGGAATGATGTTGCTGAAGAACTCCTGATTTGACACCCATCTGCTGCCTCATCTTCATTTCATTTGTTTCATTCATCTGATGAAGCTGTAACATTTGATGTGCTGCCAACTGCACAGACTGCTGCTGATTTGTTTGATGCTGCTGCTGCTGCTGTTGCTGCTGTTGAATTAAGTGCTGTCTTTGCATATGTTGCTGTTGCTGTTGCTGTTGCTGATGCTGCTGCCGCTGCTGCTGAAATTGTTGTTTAATCTGTTGTGTTGGAAACACTTGTGGCTCCTGTTTTACATGCTGGTTTGAAAGTATATTTGAATTCGGTTGCAGCGGAATATGGTTTGACTGCAATGTTGACAGTCCACTGTGAGATGATACCGAGTTCATGTTCACCTGTTGTGGCCCACTGGCAGGATTTTGTTGTAGAGAGCCCATAGCTACTTGTTGAAGTGAGTTCAGTGCATTGCCCTGACCAGGATCCATAGTTGAACCAGACTGTAGTGCGTCCATCATGTTTTGGCGAGAATTTGAAACACCAGAAACAGAAGATGAGGAATTACTCAGTGAGTTGGTTACATTATTCTGCTGCACAGCTGTCATAGAACCCTGTACATTCACAGGTTGCATCTGCGAATTCATTTGATTCTCAAGGGGATGCATTTGAGAAATTTGAGATTGTGGCTGCAGCGATTGTTGCACGGTCTGCAAGTGAGGCTGGGAAAGCTGCCCTTGCAGCATAGAAGAAACAGGCTGCCGGGGTTTATTTGAGTTAAGAATATTAATAATCTGCTTCTCAGCTACAATAATCTTCTCCTTGTGATTCTGTTGAACTTCATTCTTCGAAATCCGCAAAAACAAAAGAAGGTGCTCCAGCATACCCTTAAATTTTCTGAGTTTCCCAAGAGGATCATTCTTAGGCTGTTGAGGAAGAGAATCATGCTGCAATACATGAGGACATACACTGTTAAACAACATATCAATTTAGTAGAGGATATTATCACGTAAGAAGATTGCTATCTATGACGTAAGAAGATTGCTATCATCCAGAAAAATTTTTAGAATAAAAAAATAAAAATAAAAATTTTATATTCTATATATTATATTTGATTATTTTGAAAATGAGGAACTCAGATAAAATATATTTTAAATTATTATATTTTGAGGCAAATAATTGAATTTTGATAGAGTTATGATAAGTATATCAATATTACACTCGTTGGATAGAGTCATGATAAGTATATCAATATTACACTCGTTGGAGAGCCCATATTTAATTATGTATTATAGGCTCGAGAAAAAATTAATTCGAATAAGTTTGGTTCAAGATATTGTAGAAGTTGTTATTATTAGTGTTTAATTGGAATTAGAATTTACCAACTTTTAAAGGGGTAGCCACGTGTGCTCTTCTACAGAGATAAGGTGGTGGATATGTGATAGTGGTTAATTGTTATTTAATCACATTTTGATTATGATTAATGTAAATTGACAATTATAATCCTATTTTGATATAATTCAACTCCACATATTGTTGCTAAATTAAATTAAAATAATAGTCTTCACGTTTATTTTAACTGCACTGCATGAGTGGATAAGGTGATTGGGATACTTCTAATTAAGCTAAATCCCAATTAAACTAATCTAGAACTTATCATATGAATTAGACAAATTTCCCACCTCCTGCTTGCCCATGCGTTTATAGATCTATTGGTTTTAAAAATTATTTTCACCAACAAGAGATTTTATAGAGATGAGATAAAGTTTTATGAAGCCATTTTTATCCTATATTTGGATAAAGGTTAAAGGTTTAAATGTAATCTTATTTGTGGAATATTAAAGTACTATCTTTCAAACAATAAAAGTACATGTGTCATATCATGGTTTGGGTTATCAAAATTTAAAGTTTATCCAAGTAGTACACGTTTTCCCCACCATCAAAATTGTACCATGACTCAACTACCATTCTTTTTACTATAAATAAGGTGCAATTATCCCCTAATTCTCCACCAAGAAATTTCTACACAATAGACAGTAGAGAGAGAGAATAATTTCGAAGAGTCAGTGACCAAATTTTTGACACGGTCGAGGAAGTAGAATAGATATTGGGGTTCATTCAAAAATTCATTTCTTTGGATAAGATACTTTATGTGCAAGTGTTTTCATTTCTTTATACTTTTATATTCAATTAAATATGCATGGATTGCTAATAGCCATTAATTTTTTTTTATTTTTTTTTTTTTTAAGAAATGAAATTCTACGGGATTATAAGATGACCTAATATGGGTGTGTCGGTTGGTCACTGATATAGTCCATAATATCAGAGTGGTATGAAGTGTAAATTTTTATGGTTATATATTTGTGTATAAAAACTGCACGTATCTTATTAGGTGTTTTCAAATACTCACTCTTACAAATTTTTACGGGTTAGTCGATTGGACTGTGGCGAATTGTTGATGCGGACTGCCAAGTGAACCGAATAAAGGAAAAAGGAAATAAACAAATAGTTTGCTGTTATGTTCTTAAATTTTAATTGTTAATTGTTCAAAATACCCCCTTGTTTTATTAATCATTTGATTATGTTTAAATCTTAGAATCTCAGATTTCGTGTTTAAATTATTTGCGGTTGAAAATAAAAAAATTATTTTACTTTATTTTATTTGTGTCGTTCCGCATTTTATGAAAAGGAAAAATCAATTTTTTGCAACAACCCGGTGTTTATGAAAATTTGGGGTGTTACATATACCATAACTTCATTCCCAGGTAGAGTTTGGTGGGGGTTACTTTAAAGATATTTGTCCCTCTTTTCAGGGTAGCTGGGAGCGTGATTGCATTTTTAGGTATAGGTTCTTCGAAGAAACGAGTGTAGTTGTCCATAAAAACTAGCTATTTTAAAAATGGAATGGACGGCGATTGTTTTCCTTCATTAATTAAATCATTTCAAAGGTATTCAAGACAGCCAAGATACGTGACAAAAAGTTGGATGGAAAGGCAGCCCAAATAAGATGTGATTGAATCGAAGCATAACATTCTTCTAAACTAATATCTTACCTTCTGTAACTTGGCAGCCATTTTCTGGTACATTTCATTTAATTCAGGAAAATACATATCATTCATGGATCTGATCTGCAAGTAAAATCTATTAACTTCAGATTCCAAGAAAAACATGAAAAAAAAAAATTAACAAAAGGGTAGTAGCATTTACATATTGCCCGAAAATAGGTATCATAAGATTAAATAGACAGGAAAAGAAAACTGTCTTAGTGGAGTACCTTTTGGAAAATCTCCTCCTGCCAATCCCCACCATTTGCATTTCCTGTCTGTGACGAGGAATCTAAAGATGCTACGATAGAATTTAAATTGTGAGTTAGCTGCTAGAAGATATGAAAGCAGAACAATTTTACATATATTAGAAATATGGGCGAAATTTTGTTTTCACAATTACAGAAGCAACATTTGGTTTCGTTCAGATCTCAAAGAAGGGGGTTGATTGACTTGTTGCAACAGACAGGGTGCTCTTTTTCCATCTTAATATGATTGATTCTGTCCTCTTTTTTCAATTTCTTCAAGGTACTCCCTGATATATAATAAGTCTATAGCAAAAAGAAGCTCAAACAGTCCAGGAATTAAATTGAGACTCTTGGAGTCGAACCAAAAAACTCAAAGGAGAACTAGACTTACATTGGACACACAAATTGCAACAATCTACTTTTAAAAAGTTCCACTGAGCCATAATAAACTTAATGTATTAATCATTCACAATTTCATATACAGATCCTTATATCAATTTTCTTCTATATAACAATATTACAATATATTGCCCTTGTTTGAGCCCCATTTTTGGAGAAAAAATGAATTTTTGAATAGTGTATTGATGGGAAATGTGTGGTTAAAAAATAATGAAAAGTTTTAGATTTATGTGTAATATTATTTTATTGAAGAATGTGTGGTTGAAATGATATTAAAGTACTGTAGAAAAATGCATTTTTCCCAAAGAATGAGGTTCAAACAAGGGCATTATTGTATCCAATGTGGAATTGACTGCTTAAAGAAAACAAAAGTGGACAATTCAAGGAGCAAAGTTTATTTAGACATTTATGAATTCTCCATCGTACATTACGCACTAATAAACTTGGACTTGTATCTAAATTTATGTGAAATAAGTTTGAAAACATAAAACATAACGTGAACATAAAAATAATAAATGGATTGCAAGTGTAGGTAGATTTTCAAATATTCGTAAAGAATCCTTGAGACTAAAATCTCACAGTAAAATATAAATTAACCAAAATACAAATGTAACTAGACAAGTGTTCCATCATCCAATGCTAATACATCGTGTCAGGGGAGGAAATAATGATATTATATAATATAAATGAGATATTGAATGGGGAACTTCATCTGGTTCTGGACAAGCAAAGAACATATTTTTCAGTGTGTGTTTAGCTAACATTATTAGTAACTTACAAGTTACTTCTACTACCTAGTAAAAGTCAAACTTTAATTTCAACCACAAGTTCAAAACCACTAATTATTATTTATACATTTTGTGGTCTCCACCCGTATTCCTCCTAAAAAATTCCTAAAGAGTATCCCAACAGAGGCTCAAACTCAAATTTAATACTCGAAGGTTAAAATATGAAAATCGAGCTAAAGTTTATGAATAGATGGGGGAAAAAATGATCGAAGAACCTTTCACCAACAGTAACACAACTACATTATAGGCTACACTCAATATAAGTCAAAATGGTAAGCTTGGAAATCTCAAGATCATAATCCTCAATTAGAAATGTTTAGTAGTCAAAGTACAACCGAGGTAAATGGATGTGATAGGCCCCCGACCATCCTACATGTCAGGATTAAAGGATTAGGGGTATGAGTGGAATTAAAAATAAGTTAAATAACTTGTTGGTTAGAATAAATAAGGGAGGGTAGTTTGAAGAATTAATCAAGAAGAAATTGGGAGTTAGAAAAGGGGGGAGCGCTGCCTCACGAATGCAGAGCATCTATCTGTAATCTTCCTTCTTTTATTGTAATTTCTTCATTCAGCACACATATTCTTTTATCTGTGTTGGTCTATCAAAATCATGCCATATACCTCTCCCCCTCAGACCACACAGCCGGGAAGAAAGAAAAGGATTTTTGTGTGTGTGTGTGTGTGTGATTTTCAATGTTATTTTCTTCCTTTTTTTCCCTCCTTTTTCTTGCATTCAGTTTCCACCATTAAAATAAAACAGAGCAATTTTTGCAAGAGAAATTATTCCTTAAAATACCATAAGACAAAAGATATAGTTCCACCACTTTTAGATTGAACAAAAATGTTATAACTCAGAAGTCCCAAATTTTAGCTCCCTATGCAGCTAACTAATGTGCTAGTGTTTACAGTGTTCGGTCGAGTATACCTAACAAGATTTTCCTTTTGGCACATCATGTTATACTCTTCACCTTAATAAATCATTGATCAAGCACAAGGAATAAAGACACAAGTTAATCCATACTCCACAGACCAAAAGCTCCAAGACCATCTGACAGTGAGAATAAAACAAGAAGAGTTGAGTTGCACGCATACCCGTACACACGTGTGAGGGGAAGGGGGGAGCTATCTCCAAGTGCTAGGCTTTTCCAAAGAAGACTTCTTAAAGTGTTTATATATTGCAACCTTAAGCATTTTCCAGCAAACCATTTAGGGAGAGAGAGACAGAGGAGGGAGCAAAGGTAGATATATGAAGAGGCAGAGTCTCGAGAGATATAACATAAACGAGCCCAACTCTAGACTTCAGAGCAAATAGCCAAAAACTCATTCAATTCCACCTCTCAATAAGTAATGCAGGATTCTGATTTATAAGCAGCCAAAACATCCTTCATCAAACCCAAAAATGCATTAGCATGTATGATCTACACCTGATGATAGATGGAACGGTAAACTTCCAGCTTTCATGATTTTTCATATTCATGTACTCATTTCAATTGTAACGCCTGGTCAACTTGATATATGTGCAATGTCTTCTCCCAAATTTCAAAAGTCATCCACAACTATAATTAAGTATTTCACTTTGCAAAGACCATAGTGGAATTTAGAAAGATGTACAAGCATCTTGATGAACCAATGTACAAAATATACTAAAATCAAGTTCGCCAATGTATTAAGTATGCACTCGCATCCAAATCAATAAATAAAGATGGAATAGTAACAAGGATGAATAAGATTCAATCGCCAAATGATTACTGATGGGCTAAGATAGAAAAATATTGTATCAGAGTGAATAAACATTTTAAAGGCATACTTCAGAACTCAGAAATTCAGAATAACAAGATAAAGGAAATTCAAGTCAAGCAATAAAGAATAGATAGAGCAAAATTTTATCATCAAAAACTCACATAATGATGCCTCTGCAATGGCTCTATGAGACTGCACCAGATGCTTTTGTTGATCAAGTGAAATGTGTTGTTGAAGTAAGGGACCTGATGTTTGAATCCTTTGGTGCATGTCTCTTTGTAATGAATTTGCCTGCCGTTGCAACGCCAATTGGTGTTGCAGCTGACCCGGTTGCGATTGGGTCTGCGACATCACCTGCTGCTGAGGCGGCTGAGACTGTGACTGTGACTGTGACTGTTGAGCTTGGGTAGGCAATAAGTTCGCCATATTCTGCTGAATTTGTTGCTGTACTGCTACCTTAGATTGCTGTAACATGTGAACAGATTGCTGATTATTTTGCAACCCAGAATTACCAGATTGAATTCCAACCATTTGCTGCTGCTGGAACCCAGAAACATTAGTTTGAGGGCCTAACTGCTGCTGATGCACGTTTGGGAGGCTACTCTGCTGAACAATTGACTGCTGTTGATGTATGTTAGGAAGGTTTTGCTGACCAATTGTCTGCTGCTGTTGCAGGTTGGAATGATTATTCTGCTGGCTCATCATCCTTTGCTGTTGCTGATGCTGCTGTGCATCAAGAATATTATTTTGTTGCCCAATTAGCTGGTTCTGTTGCAAGCTTGTAGCATTTGGCTGCTGCCCACTAAGCTGCTGTTGCTGTTGTGTAGGTAGTATTGAGTGCTGCGATATTGATGTTTGTTGCTGATGAATGAGGGAAGACTGTTGTGACTGTTGTTGCCTGAGGAGTGATTGCGATTGCTGCTGCAGCATAGGTTGAGTTGATTGATGAATGGATGACTGCTGATTTTGCTGAAGACTAGATGAATTGGCCGGCTGCCTCAAAGAAGCTTGCATAAGAGCCTGCTGGGACGATTGGATCTGAGTTGGTTGCAATAAATTATGTTGCTGCTGTTGCTGGATCTGAGATTGCACAAGGGATTGTGAGATATTTCCCTGCTGGAACTTTTGCTTCATAAGGTGTTGCAACTGCTGATTGTAAAGATATTGCTGTGAATTCTGGGACTGTTGTTGTTGCTCTTGGGGCACAACCGGTTGTTGCCTTCCTTGAATTGATCTCTGGGTATTGACAAACATGTTGGAAGGCACCCCTTGCCCCATGGAATTTCCCATTACATTTGGAGCTACATTAGATATGTTTTGTAAGTTCTGCATGTTGGGATTCTGGCCAACAACATTAGGCATGGTAGCCTGAGACACACCACCCACAGGGGGAAGTGAAGGTGTCATACTAGCAGAATTTGGCACACCTGTTGATGGCATATTATTCTGAATATTTTGGGATAACAGCTGTTGTCGCATTTGAGATTGATTAGGCACCATTTGAATAGGTAGTGGCTGCCCCTGATTTGGCATTTGGGATTGTATGCTTTGTGAAGCTGTTAAAATACAAACAAAAAGACAAATATAAAGATCCTGCTATGAAATGAACGATAATAAGAGAAAGAAAACAGGGAAAGGGACATGTTGACAAATGTAAAGGCAACTGGACATAAGAAGTAAAAAAAGATAAAATAAAAATCAATTCATTAGAAACAAGACTATCTCGAAATTATTATTTTCTTCTGCAAGATGGATTCACCGATTCTGCACCAAAAGGAAAACTTGTTATGCCCCTTTGTAGTAGAGATTCTTCACAAACTCAATTTCAACCACACACTCCCAATAAAATAATTTGCACATAAACCCATAAATTTTCTCTATACATTCTCCATTAAAATCACTTTACACAAAATATATTCTAAAAAAAATATACATCACTCTGGCTCTGTATATGATTAAGACGGAAGACATATACAGAAAAGAATAAGGTGAGTAAAGAAGACTCAAAGCAGATAAAGAAGAAACTATGGGAACACTCTTCCTCAAATAGGCCACAGAAGGATGACTTTATAGGCAATTCAGGCAATGAAGGAGCTTGAAACTAATGAGCCTTTAGAGAATCATAGGAACACGACAATGGGAAGATGCATAGTGGCACTTACAGGCAATTCGAGCAGGGAAAGCTTGAAATCAGTAGGCTTTCAAAGATTCAGATGAATGGTGTATGCTTAAATTTCTAGAATAAGAGCTTGTGGCTCCAATAGCTGATTGCAGAGCACATGAACAAGAACTTCAGAAATCCAGGCTCATTTTGATTGATTTTGATTTTACGAACAACCGATCTATGTGGAATAACACCACTCTTATATGTTGACTACATCAAAATAAGATCACGATTCATCAAGAGATCCAAAAGACTTCTGCTACTAAAACAACTAATAGATCTCAGAATGAAAGACTTCTATATGTGGAATAACACCACTCTCATATGAATTTACAACATCAAAATAAGATCACTATTCATCAAGAGATCCAAAAGACTTCTGCTACTAGAACACGAACAGATCTATACAAGAAGGGATAGACACGTCGCATTTTACAGGTCCAGTTGGTGAATCTCATGCAAGGAGTTGGACGAGTTGAAAACCTCAAAGAATTTGTGAACACAGATAAGAGGAAGGAGAAGGTGGCCAGTTATCAAAACAGTTTTAGCACAATTCCGGCCAAATTAAAGATTAGAAATTTCAAGCCTCGTGGTAATTGAGGCATTAAGAAGTCTCTTGGGGTTGAGAAGACGAGAAACCTGAAAGATTTATGGTATATCAACCAATGACAATTGGTGAGCTGACCTTGCTGAGTCTGGACATGTTCAATCAAGCAAAGATGTTTCTAGGATCAAGAATGCAAGCCAAATGCACTAAAATGAGCATCTCTCAACAAAGAGATGGGGCTAAACTCCTTGCATCGAGTAAAAGTAAAGAACAACAAAAATTAGTTGTTTTATAAGCACGAGAAAACATATTTGTTATGTGCACCATTGAAGTACACGGTACCTGGATCTTGGGGATTTTTGCTATTACTTGGAGCATTTGATTGAAGAGAATTGGACATGGTATTCTGTGATTTTGTCTCCATTGTCAGCATTTTCAAAGATATCTTTCTCAAGTAATCCGACTGGAAGAGCAAAATATTAAACGGAAGTTTAGAACTGAAAATAGAATCAAATATAACTCGTCGTGCCGTGTGCTAACATCAATAAAAGACATGCCAACATAGTTTTACTAGATCGAGTAGACAAATTCCATGAGAAATTTATTGTTCTAAATGTAGGTAGCACAAATCAATAGTTTTGTGACAAATATACCTGACTTGTTGCGCCAGTATAAGTTTTTTCCTCAAATCTTACGGCTATTTTCTTGAGTTCCTGAAGTCCATCTTGTCCAGAGAAAGGAAGATGTCTCTTCAAGGTGTCCATTCTATGCAAGTGAAGAATCGTGCTGTTATTTCCTCACAAAATAATCACTAACAAAAAGATTGTAGTAAATCAAATCTAACTGAAAATTATTCACTATAGTTGGAAAGGTACGACATATGATATGATATGAACTTTTTTTTTTAAAAAAAAAAATCAGAACTTACGAAAAAACTAATTTCAAAATTTCAGGCAAGTCAACGTGAACTAATATTAATTTATATCCTAAAAAATAAAATTAAAATTAAAAATTTAAAAATTCAAATATGAAGTAAAAGCATTTACGTACATCTTGTTTACAATCCTCTGCCTGGAATCGGCTGGTAGTTGAGTCCTCCAATCGCCCGCATCCATACCCGGAGCTGCCGGAACTTCACCACCCATAACCTGACCTGGGACCTGTGCCTGACCCGAGTTCGCCCTCCAATTATTGCCATCCATCAGATTCACCTAATCAATAACTGCGAAAACTTCCAAGAACTTTCAAAATTTCATCCAAAAAATTGAATTTTTCCTCAAATTAAAAAATAAATCGGTTCCTGAATATAAGTGTCAATTGTGCTACAGTTTGAAGAAAAAGATTCAAAATTTGTAGGTTGATTTTGATCGATTAGGATAAATTAATGATTCCAGACTTCAGTTTTCGGTAAAACCCAAGAACAAAGTTTATAAATTAAAAATTGTTTATTTTAGATATATACGGGTGGCTGTTTGTCTGAAGAGGGATAAATGGACGTGAGTTTGGGCTAACCCGAAAAACTTACTCGAGGACATGTTTTCAAAAATAAGATCTTGATTCTTGAAAGTATATTTTACAAAAATTAGGTAATATATATTTTTTTTTAATTTTAAACAATAATATTATAAAGCTAAATTAATCAACCTACGCACTCCCACCCCATCCCTACACATTTCACTTCGAATGCATCTCCAAATTCTTTTCCATTCTCTTTGTATCCCTTCCATTCTCTCTCTACCGTTAACCTCCATTTTCAATTACTACCACTTGACATCTCTTAACCAAAAAGGCACTAAACTCACTTGCGAGAAATTAGGTGGGCAAGGAAAAATATGTGATTCTCTAAGCTTAATGGATTTAGGGAAGAGGAAATGGGGGAGGTTAAATGGGGACGGTGCATGAGAGATTGATGAGTGGATTAATAAAAGCGTTCGAATTATCATAAGGAAAAATGAAGGCAAGCACGGTTGAGCACTAAGGGGTAGGATTGAAAAAAAGTGTTCATCGTTAAGCACTCGCGGTGCTAGCGATCTGAACGCAGCATAGATAGTCGCAATTTTGGGGTGCTTTTTGAGGTGGTTTTCAAATCCGCTACATAGTCAGTGTTTTGGGGTAGTTTTTGAGGTAGCTTTGTGGTGATTTTTTGGGCAGTTTTGGTGGTGGTCACATGTGCCTTGGAGTGTATGTTAAATGTCGTGTTGATATCTGTTGGTGGTGCCAGCGATGGTGATAGGTCACAGATCATTGTGCATTAATCGCAGATACATGTTCACATGTCATAGATCAATCAAAATTGGTTACAGATCACGTTTACATGTCACAAGCCACACTCCACAGGTCACGAGTCAGATTGTATACGTCAAATATCAATGTCAACGAATTACGGATCAAACTAAATTGGTAACATATTATATGTTAAAGGTCTTTGAGCATAAATAATAGGCCAAAAGTTATAGCTCACAGGTCGCGAGTCGTACTGCACGTGTCACAAATCAATATCCACGGGTAACAAATCCAAAAGAACTAGTCAAAGTCAATTGAATTATTATCACGTGTCACAATTCACAGGTTATGCGTTACAATATGTAGGTCAAATGTTACAAATCCAAGAGAATTGGTCACAAACCATTGATTTCTCTGACCTCATTTTGTGACTATAGCATTCAAAAATTCTGATACACAGTATTGAAAACTTCTAATTTGTGATCTCATTTGTTCGACAGGTTTAGATTAATCAGATTTCGATGGTGAGGATCGAAGTTATTTGCTTCGACGAGTTCTTTATAGATTCTCTCCTTGTTCGATCTTTTGATACACAATGTCGACAACTTCCAACTTATGATCTCAATCGTCCAGCGGGTTTCAATAAACTAGATTTCGATATGAGAATCGAAGTTATTTGCTCCGACGGGTTTCTATAAATTTTATCTTTGTTCAATCTTTTGATAGCTTCGAAATTGCAACCTCAATAATCTGATGATTATCAAATAATCAAATTTCAGCGATGATAGTAGGAGATTATTTGCTCCTAAGAGGTCTCCGTGGTTTTTCTATTTTGCTAGATCTTCACAGTTTGTTGTTTTAGAGAGTCCCGTTTAGAGTGATAATTGAAAGCATTACTTTACAATATATATTTATTATAATTTATTTTATATATAATATTTATTAATTATGACATCAGTTTTGAACTTTTAAACTTAGTTACTTATAGATGAAATGTAGTATAATAAAAGCCTAACCTATGTATTATTCTCTTAACTTTTTGTACATGTCCACCCTTATTCTAATGACCTTTTTGAATTACGAAAATTCCTTCGAAAAATTATTTCAATATTCCCCTCTATCTATTCATGCGTTGTTACCTTTTGTTTGACAATTTGGTAGGTTTTCCTAAAATTCTTGACCACTCATCGTCATGCTTTAAACTTTGTTCTAACGTAATATTCAATTAAGAATGTCTGCATATTTATGAACTCAAGTCCAAGTTGGTAAAATTCAATAGAGTCTAGTTCTCCAAAAATATTAAAAAATTAAATTAAATTAAAAGCATGATCAGTAAGTAGACTGAACGGAAATAAAAAATATTTAAAATGTTATCTCATTGTATTGTTAAGTTTATTCAACTCCACTTTTTGATGAATGATTGATACTTAAATATGTCCATACTTAATTTGTCATCACCACTTTGAAGTACCATACGTATACTTGATTCTTGGATGTTCGACTGCATTTCATGCATCGCTACACTTATTTCAATTTGCATTTAACACATCTGAATCCAAATGAAGTTTTATGTCGTATCCAATTGGGGGATGTGCACCTATAGTGTTTGTTTTAGAAACATTGAAAATCATAGTCAAGTAGTGATATGGTGTTTTTTTTTCTTTTTTTTTTTCTAAGTTGCACATCACTTGTTCGGATCTAAAATTAAGATCTATTTAACACAATAAATGAATTAACAATTAAGTATGTGCGTATAGATGCATTAATTATCTTGATATAATAAAAAACCCGAAATGCACTTTCAAAGTGGAATGCTAGAACTATCCAACTGACTTAAAGTTTTAAGACCTATTTGGCAAGACATTTGAAAAGTTCAAAGTTACTTCAGAGACTTAGAAGTTACTTTTGCGTATAGTCAAATAATTTTTTTAGAAGTACTTTATTTTGTTGGAGTAGTATGTAATGAGCTCTTAAAATCAAGTCACGATCAACTCTAATCCCAACGAATTTAACTCATTAACATTGGGTTTACCACTATATCTACAATAGAAAAAGCCTCAAGTACAGGCTTTTCTCACGGAAATTTGACAGGGTGATATCGTGTGAACACTTTGTTCCTTTTTTATCTTTCAATGGAAACCGCCAAGTGTTCATTCCGTAAAATTTCTATTGATTTTTCTATACTTATAGCATTGTTGTCTACATTATTTTGCTATTAGACTAAATTTTAACGATAAAAATTTTGTTAATTATTAATAAAAAAATCTGGTCTACAATCAATAATACAACAATCCATCCCCATATTCATGTTTAATAATTATAGTTGAATTCTTTCACTATCAAGTCATATTTTTCTCAAATTTATCACAAATAAGGTAACTCAACAAGCTTTTTTCATGATTTTTGATAACTCAAATACATCCAAGTACCGAAAATCACTTCATAGGACATCCACACCTTGTTAGAGAAATATATTTTATGACATCCCAAAACTTTAGCAAATTTACAATGCATATCCATACATTCTATTGTGATGTACATTTCATGTAACAAAATAAAAAGTTATGTTAATGATACTATAACTTTATGAAAAGAATTGAATTAAGATTTTGGTTAAAAATTATATGGAA